ACATTGAACGACATGGCTCAGAATCGTTTGCAATGGCGCAAGTGCATCCACTGTTTGAGCTCTCTCAAATCCTAATCTTCTCGATTCGTCAGCACCTCTACCTTTGCCTTTCTAACCTTATCTCACTAAATTATACTTCCTAAATAATATCTTGAAACCCTAGTCTTCTTCATTACCATTAATACCTCTGCTAACTTTATCATTATGGGATTTGGTTTGATATTTGCGGCTCTGTGTTACTGTGGTATGGCAACGTGAACTTATGTACATACGTACGAATTTCTACGTTGCAACTGACTGACTGGCTGACTGAATTATCTTTGCATTCAGTTACTTACTGACATACTAACTTACTTACCTACTTCCTTCCTTCCTTACTTACTTATTTATGTCTGTCACTCCTAATAGAGCTTAGACCTCCCAACCAACATTCTCCAAGTGATATATTCACTGCTAAATGTTTCGATTAAAGTAACCATACGTTTGTTTGAATGACTTACGTCGAACAGATAGATGAATCTTCTTCTTTGAACTGTATTCATTTATTCTACTCATAATTTCTCTTTTTGTTTCTAGTTCATTGTTTTTGAAATGACTGGTTATGTAATGAAGAAGTTAGAGTTCAGTAAACAAACATCAGTAGGTAGCGCAAAAAACCGATTATGTAACATAAGAAGTTACATCACTAGGTCAATCAGAGCTACACGTTATTTTTATAGATTATGGATGAAATTCACGCCGAAATCGCTTGATAATGATGATGATGAGAATGGCCTCTATAAAATTGGTACTCATCATAAATATGACTATGTAAAATGTAAGCTGTAAAACAGCTGATCTGAAATAGAATAACGCATTTACCTCATGCATGCATGCATTATATTCTTGCCTTCATTCAAATTATCAAGAGAGTAAATTGTACAACGTGACTTCCTAGCGTTAATTATCATTTGATGACATTAATAATAATGATAAATAGTGATGAGTTGAAAATTTAATTTTTTTCTGTTTGTTTGTTTGTTTTAATAAGGAATTATAAAAATGAAAGTAATCAAATCAAATATTAGAGGAAAAAGATTAAGACGAAGAAGGAGAAGGTGCATAATCTCTCAAGCAGATTAAAGTTTTGAAAATCAATTGCTAACCTATGAATACATCATTGTGAACATGTGCTTATACAATCTGTTTGATTTGTACCAGCTCCCATAGTGTATGTATATAAAAAGGGCGCTTAGGATCACTTAGGATTGATTAGTTATGATAAAAATTCTTTAAAACAATGATTAGAATGCTTTGGATCTATACGTTAGTTAGTTTTGGTTCAGTCAGTCAGTTAGCTAGCTACAATGTTGAACTTCGTACATACGTACATCAGTTCAAGTTCCTTTACCCCATTCAAATCCTTTGTAGTATAGGTAGTTTTTTAGTGAGGAAGAACACAGGTGGGGCAACCGAATTATAATCAATGAAAATTACAGAGTTACTCAGTAAAATCGGAAAACCATATCGTAAATCGTTTTAATTTGCAAAATATCAGTTCATCCTATGGAACTGGACTGTTCCTGTTGCAAAACATCAATCCATTGTCACTATTCATGCGTTCGTTTCATACAAATTCCATTGTGTTCTAACTCTTCCTTTCTTGATCTTCCCCCATCTTCTGCTGCCAGACATTACGTTAACACTCACGTTATATACTACTTATAAGTAGCTCGCACCACAGTTTAAGTATTAGCGGTAATGGAGAAGATTAATGTTCGAAGGTATCATCCTTAACCAGGCGGTTTACAGTCCTGTTGTCAGTAATTTAAAGTAATAGTATCTACGTTTCTTCCAGACTATCCCTAGCTCACAAAACATAGCTCATCGATCACAGTTGGTGGTTAGAGGAATACGTAACACATGTCCCAACTACCTCAATTAATGAAGATTCACTACTTCATCTATTGATTTGCTATCCTTACCTAGTACCATTGATTATTCGGTGGTCTCAGGATATTCGAATAATTCTTCGAAGACACTTATGATCGAATGCTACTAACCTACGAACAATATCATATCTTATTATTCCTCATTGTATTTGAACTTACATTATCTAGAAGATATTTATTTCTAAACTATTTAGATTGCTGATATTCTCTTTTGAAATTCAGATATCAAAATACTGTTTGAACACATTTTAATGACTATTGTCATGTTTGTTTAATCTTATAATGGTAACAGAATTCTATGACTACTAGTCTCAATTGATTCGAAATTAAGATACAACCTATAATTATAATAAACTGTCTTTATCAACTATGATAAGAATCCATTCTCTGAACTGGATAGTTTAAAGTAGAAGTTGTACTTTTGTCATAATCATCCAGCTCAGCTGTAAAATTTTCTCCACACCTGCATTAAACTCAATATCCATTGATCTATACTCTCAAAGTTAGTAGTCTTCAATCATATCAGTCACTTCTGTGTACATTCACATTTTAGTTTGATTGTAAACTATTCTAAAAATAGAGCCGACTAGCTATTTAATTCCCAAACATAAATCATGATGTGACATGATGCCTTCGTTTATATATATATAATTAAGTACACTCATTATATAATAAGTTTGACGTAAAATTGTTTCATAAGTTCGAAATTATTTCATCGATAAAACCAACGCAAGTGCAACCGATCGAATTGATTTTCGTAATCATGTTAAACTATTCTACCAGTCAATTCATTGAAATCAATCAATTGTTCTTAATGCTTTTTTGTTTCTATAATCCGGATTAAGAATGCTTTTTATGGTTATTCTTAACGGATAGTTTTATGTAGAAGCCAAACTTTTTAGTCATTCAACAAGTGGTTTAATCGATTAATGCCATTGATCTTGTTTGTGACTAGCTACCTTAGTGTTCTTGTTCTTGCATTCATGCTGAAATGTTTGACTTCTTCAGTATGAGTTTATAGATTAAATCGTTATAGAATTTGAGGCTTCATAATAGAAATGGGCAAAATAGGATACTTTTTCTGGTGTAGTCGATTAGACAATATCGAGTCTTAGATTTTTCATGTGATATGATTCAGAAGATTTAGTTAAACAAACTGAAGGTTTTATTATTTGTAGCATGATCATTTAGAGCGTCCTACTTACTGTATTCAGCTAACAATGCATCCTTGAACTCTGATTATGAAAATTTAATCCTGAAAAGTCGTTCAACAATTATATAGTGGATGAGTACAGAAATATGCGGATGTTAAGCATCAATAATTTTCACCTATGTCTGTGCTAAAATGTCATTATTTGAGTAAAAGTGAATAATTTTTAGAGGTAATCCTATGAGTCCTGTTGTGGAACCGTGATCACTGATGTCAAATAGAAATTGCCAACAGTAATTCTTAACGATTGTGTAACACCACAAAGTTTTACTGTGAGGCTTGAGGTTAAAGTTCAACCCCTAGTGAGGTCAGTGATAGGCACTTCTAAGAAGTGTGATGGAGTTTCGTTTTATAAGATGGATAGTTTGATTGTGTTGGCAGTTCAATTTTCTTGTGAAGAACAAAATTAGGCACCCAAACAGTCATCAGCAGAAACGGAATAATTGTCTAATTCCTTCTAACTTCTGGTGGTTATCGAGTCAAAGTCAGTCTATGATTTGAAAATAATAAAAATATCCCAATTATTCACTAAAATTACGTTCACACTAATTGATCAAACTATCGTTTATCTCTAGGAAACGTCTCACAATCTCATAAACCGATTGATTATGTATATTAGAATGACATTAGCCAGTTTATCGCAGGAAAAATCTTTATGTAACCCTAAGATTATTTTTTAAATGATACAGTCTAGAATCGAAAGGGGACACTAATGTTTTTATGTATCTAAATGTGAATGAACATACTAAAACATTACTAGCTAGACTTAAAAGCTCTTATCTTTTGTAAATGAAAAGAATTTCTGATTTTCATTCCTTTCTCTAGTTTGAACGATACCGATTATATGGCGAATCATCATGGTTTGAAGTAGGAAATAAGTTGAAATTGATAGCTTAAAACGTTTGGCTGAACTAAGATGCTTGCTAAAGCATCGATGCTGGGATCTACTTATCATCTCGAAATTAATTCGGTTCAACTAACATAAAATCATTCATCTATCCTAAAATGCTATTACAAGTAGATGAAAAATTCAAAGAATGACTCAATCAATCCAATAAAATTGAAATGTATAGGGTTCCAAACTTATGGAGGAGTAATAATGCTTCCACTGCAAGTCTTTGAACTGAAACTTCAATAAGGTCCCCCGCAGACATCATTTAAGAGCTTAAAAACCGGGAAGAACAGATATTCATTGATTCAAGGTTCTATTTGAATTTTTGTTATAAAAATTGTTTTCATAAAGTCAGCCAATTTCCTCAGCCAACGCAATAAACAAAACTTATTATTCGTGACGATATGAAAGGTAACACAGAGTGACATCATCGTCTATCACACTCCTTTTTAAAGTTGAGAAAACCAGGGAGTACAAGGCTTACAAAGGTCTCTGAAAAATTCGTCCACGACAATTCTAGGGATTAAACTCAATACCATTCATTGGTCTTGTATAGCAACAATTAACGTTTACTTTGAACGAGATGAAGCTATTGCAGATTCAGACAAGATATACATGTAAAATGGTTTACATTTAAAATTTCCTTTTACTTTGGCTTTCTCACAAGTAGCTGAATTCATTTCTTCTAGTATTTTAATCTCAAACCTTATCAACATCACCCAGTTATATCTTTAGAATAAATAAATAAATTTTTAACCATCAAACTTTTTCAAATGGTTTATACCACATATAACCAGAAATTTACCTTGCTTAGTACTACTTCTACCACTTCTACAAATTTATTTTAAGCGTTTTTCAGACATCTGGATAGACAATTAATAATCTAGCAAATATATACAAATTTTGCCGACCAAAGGTATAAATACAACTTATTTTCGAATACTTGTAGTAAGAAAAGTCTCAAAAAGATTATTTAGACATTATATTTTCCGATCAATATTATAATCTGTAGTCCGATAACCAATAATAATAATAATTATATGTTTTAATCCAGTGTTTATGAATAAAATACTTGACTCCGTTCTTTATTTATAATAAATAACATTAAAATACAAATATATATAACAAAGGAAATTGAACTGCATCACTTTAAAAGCTTTTCAAAAAAATCAATATAGTGTTTTTACACCTTCACTTGTTTTAATCTTAATCCGAATCACCAGATTTGATAGCTTGAATAACGCATATAGTAGAAACAATACACATCATTTGAATGATAGCAAATACAAATGCCGCTACTATTACAGCGATAATATACTTTTCAAAGAAGGCAACCAATTTGTTTGCACAGCCCTAAAATTGTAAAAAAGATTAATAAATGCAATTACAGGGTCATCATTGAAAATCTATTTTTTGTTTTTTAATAGATGATTGGAAACAATGTCCGATATTCCCTATTGTTTCAAACTACTTATCAGTAATTTAAACAGCATACATTTATAGATAGCAAGTGATTAAAATCTTTGTATTTCGGGTTGATTTATAGAGGAATGTGAAAAATACAAGTTAATCTAATCGATTCAAGACACTAAAAAAATAAAAGGCCAGCGTCAAGCTACATCCTTAAAAACCTAATTGTTACAATACAAAAATTAGATCAGAATTATCCCTGATATGGACCTAATTCGGTGTGAAGAGCTCGTTATACCATCATATATTGAGTATATTTTTAACAAAAAGATAAATCCTTATAGACATTCAAATGACAAAAAAAAATTCGTTTTAACTTACTTCGGAGTATGGAAGCGAAGTGCTTGGATTTGTACAAGAAGCAGGAATACTTTGTGCACTCGAAATGTAATCATTTGCTGATTCAGAGCCACAACATTGAAACTAGAAATACAAATGTCACCTAATAAATACATACCTCTTGTTGTATCTTATCTAAGAATTCCTTAGTTTTTGGGTTTTTACTGTATTCTTTTACAGCGTTCTTAGCCAATGAAAGAAATTGTGTTTTCACTTCATCTTTTAGCACGGCAGCTGCTATTCCTGCCGCTATCTCAGCCGCAACCATAACAGAGAGCAAAATCGCGTACTTGAATTTTAAATAAATTAATAGAAATTTACCAAAATGAGACAACAAGTATTTTTGGTACATGCTCCGCAAAATCCAAGGACTCCAAGTAAAAACAGAAAGCATCCAAGTACGAGTACGAAAATAACGAGAGCTCTACTGTTTGAGCCAATATCGGCGGAATAGTGATCAATCGAATATTGAGCTAGACCTCCGATGACTACTAAAGCAATGCCACATGCCTTTTAGAATAAACATTTTTGATCATATTTTGATTGACTTACGAGTACAAGGATATTAAATATCACTAAAATGGTTTGCAGACACTTATAACCACAGCTTAAAGAAGCCATATTCGCAAATTGAACGGAAATGACTTATGATGTTTATATAGCTTCAAGGTCGACTCAGATCCGCTGACCGTTATTGGTATAGCTTAACAAAACTGCACGTGGATAAGCAATTTCATTCACAAAGCAGATTACCATCACTGACATGTGAACAGCCTCACTTGAAATGTTGATAAAATTAGTTATTTCTCTGAACTAGCGTTACCCCGTATGCTAGATGACATTGATCACACAGTTGATACTTTTGGTTTGATGTGATATTCTACTACAGATGTTATTTTGTGATGTTCAATCTAAGGACACGCACACAATACTCCATAAGGTACTGGATACCGATTTTCGGCATTAATGATGCGGTGATAACGGGATAAATAGATTCAAATTAAAAGTTAAAGCAGTGTAGATGTCTGATCGAGCAACTTCAGGTAAGACGTTTCTAGTCGAAGGAATGAGGTAGACATCAGTGTCGTTGACTTAAATAAATAGTTATTTTTTGAATGATTTGCAACGATTGGTTTTTAAAATCCAAATAAATAGAACATACTGATAAAAGTATAATGTGTTGTATAAATTCCTCAAATATAGACTGCTGAAAGTTTTCGGTACATTAGTTTTAATTCTTGCTACATCTAACGTTCGGGGGTCATCAATACAGTGGTTTGGCGTTACATCAAGCAGAAAACATAACAGTGGCGACGGAGTGTTCAACCCGCAATGCCAATTACCCTTGAACAGATAGAATCTTTACTGGAACGTCAAGGAAAACGATATGAACAGTTCCAGGAACGTATCTTGGAGTTGTTAATGAAACAAATGAATTTGAATCACAGAGGTCTTACCGAAGACTCATATAATCCACATGCAGACTCGATAGTTATTTCCATTCATGAATTTCATTTTGGTGGCCTAGCTGGTGTGACTTTCGAGTCTTGGTTCAAGTAGTATAAGGATTTGTTCAAGGTCGACCTCAACAATCTTGATGACGCCACCAAAGTCAGAATCCTCTTGAGAAAGCTCGGCACAATCGAACACGAACGTTATAGTAATTTAATCCTCCCAAAGAACCCAAGAGATTTCTCTTTTGATGCTACATTTAAAACGCTGTCGCAAATCTTCTCCGAACAGTTATCTCTATTTAATATTCGTTATCGATGCCTCAAAATAACCAAGTCAAATGAAGATGATTGTGTAAAGCACACCGGCTTAGTAAATCGTGAATGCGAACGATTGAAATTATCATCAATGACGGAAGATCAGTTTAAGTGCCATGTGTTTGTGTGTAGCTTACAATCTCCCGAAGATGCTGATATAAGAAACAGAATGTTAAGTAAAATTGAGCAGTGCCCAAACATCTCGCTTCAAGAAATAACTGCAGAGTGCCAGAGATTAGTAAATTTGAAGCATGATACCTCCATGGTTGAAAACAATGGCCGTGCATCATACGTGCATGCCGTTAGTGAAAAGGAAAATTCCGGCTCACAAAAGCATCACAAGAGCACAGACAACCAGCCCTCATCTCCATGCTGATCATGTGGAGGTTGGCACTACAAGAAGCTTTTTCCATACGAAGATTATGTTTGCACTAAATGTCACATAAAGGGTCACAAAGAATTTCGATGTAGAAAAAAAACTCGCAGACATTACTCCGCAAACGTCTATTCTAAAAAATACAGATCTGGTAAGACAAACAATGTATTGGTGTCTCATAACCAGACAGGAATTCACCACAGAAGATAGTATGTGACTTTGGATATGAATGCACACCGTATCCGTCTTCAACTTGACACAGCATCTGATATCACCCTTATCAGTCCAAAAACTTGGGAGAAAATTGGAAGACCTACAGTTCACCAAACGAAGCAACTAGCACACAGCGCATCTGGTGGTAAGTTAAATATTGTTGGAGAAATATTGTGCACTGTTTCAAAAAATGAGGCAACAACGAGTGCAACTGTATACTTAACTAAAAACCCAGACCTTGATTTATTGGGGTTGGATCTCATAGATGCATTAAAATTAACAGACCATTCTATCAACAACATCTGCAGCCGAGTTAGAATCAATAACCTTTTAGAGTCAAATCTGAGAAATGACATTATAAAAAGGCATAATGAAGTATTCTCGGAAGCGTTAGGCGAATGTACCAAAGCCAAAGCACTACTGACTCAGGTCAACAGCTATTCCTGTTTTTCGACCAAAAAGACCAGCACCTTATGCTTCTCTCCCAGTAGTTGAACAGGAACTGGAACGACTTCAAAAAGTGTGTGTTATTAGACCTGTAAGTTTCTCCGAATGGGCTCCACCGATTGTGGTGGTCAAGAAGTCAAACGGAAGTGTCCGTCTATGTTCTGATTACTCTTCGGGACTGAACGATGCTCTAGAACCCCACCAGTATCCCTTGACTATACCTGAGGATCTTTTCACTAAGCTAAATGGAGGCAAGGTGTTTGCAAAACTGAATTTATCGGAAACTTATTTGCAGATTCCTGTCGCTGATGAAAGTAAAGATCTGCTTACTATTAACACACATAAGGGCCTATTCAGATATAATCGGTTACCTTTTGGAGTCAAAACCAAGCCCTCCATATTTCAACAGGTGATGGATACTATGCTTTATGATCTCCCTGGCGTTGCAGCTTACCTGGATGACATAATAATTATGGGCGTTGATAGAATAGACTTAGAAAAGAAGCTCGACCAGGTGCTATCAAGAATAGCTGAATATGGATTCCGGCTTCGTGTGGAAAAATGCGACTTTTTCATGCAGAGTGTACGTTACCTCGCTTTTATTATCGATAAAGACGGGAGAAAACCAGACCCAGAAAAAACTCAAGCTTTGAAAGAAATGCCGAGAACGACAGATGTTTCCACACTTCGATCCTTTCTGGGACTCGTTAGTCATTATGGAGCTTTTATCCCTGACCTTCATCGTCTACGTGCCCCATTAAACAGTCTTTTAGCAAAGAACGTAAAGTGGTGTTGGCCCAATAGTTGTCAAACTGCTTTCGAGAAGATTAAAAAACTGCTACTCTCGGATCTGTCGCTGACACACTATGACCCATCCCTCCCTATTGTAGTAGCGTCAGATGCTTCAAGCTACGGCATTGGAGCAAGCATTTCGCATATCATGCCTGATGGGTCAGAGAAGGCAACCACGCATGCAGCAAGGTCTTTAACTGCAGCAGAACGTAAATATAGTCAGATTGAGAAAGAAGCTTTGACAATTATTGTTGCCGTAAGAAAATTTCACAAGATGATATTTGGACGCAGCTTCATACTCTTAACTGACCATAAACCGCTTCTAGCCATATTTGGGTCAAAGAAAGGTATCCCAGTCGATACGGCGAACAGATTGCAACGATGGGGAACCACATTATTGGGCTACGACTTCAAAATAAGGTACAAACCTACTACTTCTTTCGGACAAGCTGACACTTTGTCTAGACTCATTGGTTCTCAAGCGAATCAGGAAGAAGATATCTTGGTGGCTGCGATTGAGTCAGAAGTACATCGAGTGTTGGAAGACGCAGTAGATGGTCTGCCAGTTACATTCAAAGCTATTAAAGAAGCTACAATCAATGACAAAATACTACAAGAAGTCAAAGGTTATATCCTCTCAAAGTG